CTCGACGAATACTTAACGAGTTGCCTTATGAATGGTATCTGGGAGGAGGCGATGCCATGGGCTGTTGGGACATGCCAAGGTTTGGAGCCGTAAGGTGCTGAATGCGCCGGGAAAAAAAGTTTGTGCTGTGCACAACCGTCAACGGCCGCAAGCGGTTGGTTCAAGTTCGATGTTTTTGACGGCCACGGGTTTGGTTGTCCACCGATAACTTTCCGAAGGAGGAAGCAACAGCAATAATAGGAAGGCCGCTCGGTGGGAGGTTGCTCTCTGCTCCATCTTTCATCGCCGAATCGTATACCCTCGTTCTCTCTCTCTCTGCGAAAATTAGAGATGAATTATGTACCGTAGTACACATACTTGGAAGTACATCGAAGCAAGACCACCCGCACGAGATTTAACCACAGTACAAGGGGATGGATTGAAGTCTTTTGACAGCAGAAGACCGAAAAAAAAAAAATGTTGAAAAAATCACTACTCTGACGCCCATGATAGGTTGGTTACCCACCTCATCTTCAACACCTGCGCTGTTGACGTTTACCGGTGCCTTGGAAATAAGGTCCCCCACGAGCGCGGCAGCGGCATGAATCCGCGGCATGTCGGCGCCCGTGATGTAGAGCTTGAGGTCCTTCTGGTCGACCCACATACCGCAACCGCTTCGATGCTGAGGGCGTTCATAAGTTTGCGAACGGGGGCGGATCGGGAAGAGCGAAAATGAGAGCAAATGGGATATATATATGTCGACGACATGCAGGGCTGAGATACAACACGTGCATGAGTACTTAGACGCACATTTGGCAAATACAAGCGAGGGCCTTCCCCATTGGACAACAGCAGCAGCGCAAAGAAAGCAAGATCTACTAGAGGTTAGGAAGGAGAGATGGAACGACAAAGACCGAGCGACCAAAAAGAAGAGAGCAAGAGAGGCAGGCTTGGATCCCTCGGCGCCTCAGCAACACCCGTTACAGATTTCGCGAGTGTCCCCGCTAAGGGCAACGCCCCAACAATCCTCAATTATTTACTGCTGTTGCGCTTCACACAAGACGCGCATGACGCAAGCATGACTGAATGGGCACGACGTCTTCCAAGTCTTTGCATTGAGAATGCAGCAGCCCCTGTTACAGTTATTGGTTCTGTCGGAAGCCGTTACATAGATCGATGGGCAATGAATGCTATGCTACAACAATTGCGATACAACACTGGTCACCACAATAGCCAGGACACAAATGAATGGACTTCCGACAGGCCAGACAAACAGCGCATCGTCCTGCACCCCGTCATGACCCCCACCCACCAAGTGTTGCCCTTCCGGCAAACACAGAAGAGGTGCTCGCTGGTGGGATCTACAGCAAGGCTTCGCGATATTGCCACCGGTACCGCATCGCTTAAGCTGTACTCCCAAACAATAATAGGGTTAATCGTCCCTACCTGGCCTCTACGGTAATTGTGCGTGTTATCGCACCCCCGTTTTAGCGTTTTTCGATGCCGTATTATTCAACCACAACCGAGAAGGTATCACCTCCGACAAGGGTAGATTTGGAAACATATCGTCGAGGGCTTTCCGGAGAGGTATCAGCTGGTGTTCGCACCCTCCCAGTTGTGGGAAACACGCCATAGAAAAACGCTAGCACGGGGGTGCGATAACACGCACAATCACGTTGCTATTTTTTCATTTTTTCTTCTCCCATCGTACTCCCTTCTTCCCCTCGCTCCCCGACAAGCTTTTGCTTAGACATGGGTTGTAGCGAAGGGGGGGGTCTTTCTGGCGAGCAGGGCTAGACTCACCCTCAAGGGATGACCGAAACCTTCTTGCTGCTGCGCATCCGCCGCGAGGCGTGCGTGTGGTGGTGGAGTTGGGTCGGCACTGATGGGGTCAGGCGGGAAAATGTAGATGCGCGGGCCTTTCTGGCCGTCGGCGTAGGCAGTGATGCCCATCTCATTTTTGTGCGCGGAGGCAGACACCATCAGAAAGGTGGACGGGCACTACACGGCCCTAGGTTTGCTAGAGGGAGCTGTATTGCCTCAGTAACCTGGCTTCGCCATCAA